AAGATAGAAAGAGAAAGAGTATCGATTATTGATGTTGAAGAAACAAAAAGTACCGTTAGGCCTATACTTATTCGATAGAATACCTTTGAATTCAAAGTTGTTACCATCGTCGAGAAATCTTGGTTCGGATTGTAAAAAAAAGAAGAAAAAATTCGATGAATCGTGTTTGTCAAATACAATAGGAATTTATCTCGACGGCACGCGTATGTTTTGCGCCATAGAGAATAATAGAAAAATCGTACAATAAAGCACATTCCCGAGACTGTCAAACTTATATCGGCTTGAAGGATTTTAAAAATCGTCTCCTTCTCTTCGATCCCCTATTGGACAGATGCCGACATGGTTCGATGGTCAAACTTAATAATGTTTATGCAACACGCGTGCACGGCCACTCGGATATATTTTTTTCTTTTTTCTTTCTCTAGATTTCAACACGGATTTCAAGGGTCCTTTATTAGATGACTTTTTTGCGGCAGGAGAGAGGTTTTATGGATTAAAGTGCAGCAGGCGTTTTTCAATCGCTGAGGTGGGAGAAAGCTTTTCTTACTTTTGTTAATATTTTCCATTAACGAAAGTCTTTAATATATCTTTAGCTTCCTTATAAAGTTTCCTTTCGAAGAAAGAAAGAAAACGGGATGGAGGGGAATGGCGCGTTCTTAACGTGAACGGAATTGTGAAAGAAGATGGAAAAAAATAAAGGATCAATGATCGACGCAAATTTTAATCCGATTACGTTGAAAAGGAGGAAATAGACAGTGTTTGCAAGATGGCCGCTGGCGGGTTGTATTATTTCTGTACGAACCCTTTCTTCGTGCATTTTCCCTCTCTTTTTCTCTCATCGACCCTTCCGAAGCATCAACCAATCAAAGCGCCGTGATTCATTTAACCCTTCTTGTTGCGCCCATCCCATCTTCTCGACTTTCTACCAACCCTTTGTAAGCACCTGCCAATTTCTCTTCTTATGTAATTATGCATACCGGACAAGCCCTCGTTTCTTCATTGGTTTAGAAATGAGAAAGGGGCGTGTACGTTTTACCCTTTCTTCCAAGCTCACTACGTCTTGCAGTTGTTTCCATGCTAATCAATTTTTTCACAACGCTTTCGTAATTATGTATTTGATTAAGAAGATTAGTCTTTTTTTTAATTTGATAACATTTATTAGCTGTAGAAATTAATTCGGTGCCTTTAAAAAACAAATTTAGCATTTATTCCAAGGCACCGAATTAATTTATACACCTAAAAAAGATCCTTAGCGTCTTTATTTTTTACTTTCCCGTAGTTAATATCACCTTCCTATGATGATATCGCAAAGGAACACAGTTCTAAATCTTCAAAGTCAGTAGGATCGAGTAAATGGTGGTTTGAAAGTTTTTGGTACTTGCATAGGACTCGCGGAGGACGAAGTTTAAAGCGGGTGCTTGATTAATGATGTCTAGATAATCGCAACTGAGCCAGTGGATTCGAGAAAGCCTTTAAAATAATCCCCATAAAATTGCGCCCTAATGCCTCATCCATTAATCCTCCGTCTTATCTTTGGCGCGGGCGAGACTAGAGGTAGGGAGTTTAGCGAGATTCGTTGAGTCTGCGCAAGCGCGAAAAAGAGAAAACGAGATTAGGGATTTAATTTCGAGGTTACGCTTCGGTGCTGTTTTACTAAGGAAGAGTGTCGTCGTTGTCGTCGTCGTCGTCTACGTCTTCGTCGCTGTTTTTGTTTGGTTAAAGTCGTTACTAAACATTGCCGTACAATCGAGTACTTTCGAAAAGCGATATTTAATTAGATATTTATAACTAAGGCTGTTCAAATCATTATTAAACATTTATCTCAATTTTTTCCTTTGATGATAATGATGATGATGATAATGACGTACAAGGAAAAGAATATAAATAAGGCGATTTTGGAAAACGTTCTGGGAAAGTCGAAGTAATCGATTTCTTAGGGAGCCTCGAGAGAATCGAAAGCGAATCTCCAGACACATCCCTGGCACATCGAAGTTTTTCTCCCTAGCTAGCTTCGTCGCATTTAAGCCGACGGCGATGCCGGAATTAATTATTTAGGGGACAGAAATGGCACCCCTATCCACCTCCTCGATTCTTTCCACCTCCCACTTTTCCCTTTTTTCCCTTCCTTCCTCTACTACTGTCTTTTTCTCCATCTCCGTCCACTTTCTCTTCTAGAGTTTCGCGATCGTGTTCTGAGCCTAACCCCAGGGTGAAGATATAATTATGGGAGGTGGGTGGACCTTCAAGTATTCATGTTTTCATTACGGCGTCAGTCTTCGCCGGTATCGCTCAAGAAAAAAAAGGGATTCTCGCCCTAAAAATATGCCTGCGAGTGCCCTCCATTCTCCTTCATCGTCCTTCGTCTTTATAACTTTCTTTTTATCTATATTATTTTTCTCTTTTCTTCTTCGTTTTTAGGAAGTTTCCGTTTCTAAAGTGCGAACAATTGTATTCTTTCTTTTTACTCGTTTGATCGTTTCTTTCAAATGTACTATCATTTATTAACTTAATCTTTTTTTTTTTTATCTTCGAAAGTAAAATAATCAAAGCTTTTATCGATGTTTCTACGTGATAATAAAAAGGACAAGTTTGATTTAATCGGCCGTGCAAAAAGTTCTATCTTTATCGATCATTCCGACACACCGCAAGAACTTAAATATCACCGTTAAAGAAATCGTATTTCGAGATGCACAGTTAAGGCTAATTTTTCTCGCGTAAGAAGGACGTCCATTTGTGCTTGGCTGAACGGTTGCGCCCTTCATCAGCTAACAACGCACTGTTTTTGCTACCTTCCGTTATTCGCTCTTTGTTCGAAACGTTCTCGCACCCTTTGTTCGCTTCTCCCTTTTGTAACTTCCGACTTCTCAAGGCATTGTCTTCGGAGGAAGGAGGAGCTTTTTTTTTTTGCAAAACGTCGTCCTTCCAAAATTAATCGACGACGAGCTGCTTCTTCTCTTCTTCTCGTATCTTCTTCTTTTCTACATCTACACGCTTCGCTTCTGCTTTCAGAGCAACATCGACGGGGATCGCCCATTAAAAATTCCTGAATCAGTCGCTCCTTGTCCCTGATTAACGGTCTATCCAGCTAACGACGATTCTTCATTGAGATTCTTTTTTGAGAGAGAGAGTGAGTGATAGAGAGAGATTTCTTCTTTTCTATTTTTTTTTTTTATTCCTTCTTCTTCTTTCACCTTTCTTTCAAGACGATAAAGACACTCTCCTAACTTGGCATTTTTCGCATAACTTGAAAATGTTCTATTAAAAAATTTCTGACTAGAAAAAGAATGTTGGGCTAAAGAAGAGGATCTATATCCACGGAGAGTTTTCTTTTGAAAATCTCTCTTTTTAATATGGCTAAACTTTTCTTTTCCCTCACAATGATCTTCCTTCGTAGCATTTCATCGTTATTCGCGCGTTATATTCATACACTACGGATATTAATTATCTCAGAAAATCTTATCGATTGTTTTTGGTCACTTCTTTCATTTCGAGTCATGACCCATTGTAATGGGCAATTAGAAAGTATTATAATGTTACGAAAAGATATTTTCGAAATACTCGTAATTAAGTTCGTATTAATATTATATTTGTCTTTGGCATTTTAAAAAGGATAAGTAAATTTATGTTTGAGAAATCGCGTTAATAATATTTTGAATATAACTTGTAACCATATCAAATTGATTCTCGATGAGAGAAGACGAAAAAATGTTAAATTTGTAAAAGCATTATATTAAATGTTTAAGTTTGTTGTAGAATATTTTCGAAACGTCTGAACGAAGAAAGAAAGTTAAGTAAATTTCTGTTCTCGGAATATCGATGTCGGTCTGTTTATTATTTAGTTGGACGTCGGACATCGGAAATATTACGAGTAACGGACGACAGACTTGCGTTACGATTGATGGGATATTTTCTCTTTTTTTCTCCGTTCTCTCTGGAGTTTTTTCGCCGTACGAAGCGAGCCCAAGGTAGAACTTTTAAAAACGTATTATTTTCCATGCACTTCGTGCAAAGCGAACTGCATAAAGTGTTTGTAACAGAGGGAGAACAACTACGCGGAAAGTTGCGCACGAGATACATTGTAACTATCGATCGTATAGTCTCTCTGCGTGGACATAAGCGAGGGGTAGCTTATTGGTCAGTTGTGCAGTGCACACCCCGTACGACGCAACGGGAAGGAAGAGAGGTAGGGTTGGTCGTTCGAGCGATAGGGTGATCGTAGAAGGGGGTTATTCGTAAACCTTGAGAGACGCCCTATGAGCGAGATAGACCAAGTATACCTCATTTTCCTAAATTATTGCTCCAGTTACTTCCACGAGCACATTGTCCAATAATATTATCGATTGTAATATTGTATCTTTAGTATAAATAATTATTTTATTGTTCAGATTTTCTTTTTTATAACTTTTCACATATCAAATGCTTATCTAATAAATGGTACGCAGTAGATACCCAGGAAGAAGTTTAAATTTTGATTTATTGTTTATTATTATTTATATATCTTTCATCGAGATATAGATATAATATATATTGGTTTATCTTTCTGATTTTTTTATTGTTATAAAGTGTCTCGAAAATCACGATAACCATAATACCCTAAGGTGAGCGGTCAAACGTGTCTGGGATAATTCGATGAAAGAATAAAAACCATTAAGGTCAAACAGAAAAGAATGGATATGGCGATACATGCGGAAACATTTGAAATCAAAAATTTATCTGCCGCGAGAGTTTTCCTTCTAGGAGCCTTTACTCTGACACAAAGCCGACTCCGAATTCATAGAATATTTGATGTTGCCATCTCAACGATGAACTCGTCGACATCATCCGAAGTAAAAGAAGTTTCTTTGAAGTTTCGCGCGCCGAAAAAGTTCCTCGTCTTCTTTTCCCCTTCGACGAAAAACGTTCGATATAAAAGTTTTCTTAGGAAGAATCGTGACCGGTGGATATCGTGAGGATCAAGCGGGATACACATCCGTATTATTCCTCGCGAGGGACTTCACCACGGATGGGCGAGAAAGATCGATAGCCGAAGCATCTCTGCCAACCGGGTACGAACTTTTGCTTCTCCAGAAGAAACGGATAAAGTAGGTATCCCTGGAGTATGCTGGGTGTTAGAGATAGAATGAGAAAGATAGATATCAAGAGAGAAAGAGAGCTATGTCTTTCCATCTTTCCTTTCATCTTCCTTCATCATCCTAAGACCTTTCGACGATTCCTTTGTTTCCATCGTGCGATGGAAGAGTTAATCTCTACTGTGCTCCATCCACGAGGAAATTCATCTTTCAGAATTACATCTTCTGTCGTCACTTTCTTGCGATCGACAGAAATAACTGTTCGAAAAAATATGTAATACTTTTTCTCTGGTCCGACTTTTCATTACTTTGTTAAAGTCATTTTAGAATTATTTACTTTATTTTATAACAGGTGGAGTATACATGTGTCTACCGTCCGAGTAAATGATCCTTTATTCATTTTTAACACATCGTCATTACGAGAAATATTTGTATAAATTTATGGATGAACATTTTCATTATATCCGATGCAAATGTTTTCATAATCGAAATGAAAAAAAGGAAGTTTTTTGAGGTAAACTATGATCTTCGGTACAGATCAAAAGGTATATCGCGCATGAATCCTCACATTAAATCTTGAAGAAAAACACAGAACTCATGAAACTCGAGATCCCACTGGGAACTAACATTTCTTCACAATCTTTCGAGGTGGCAGATCATATAGTTGCACCATCATCCTATTCATTTAAAAAGATCGAACAGGATATACCGCTTGGTGTTAGCTAATTTTACGGCGGTGCTTTCTACGTGATTCTAAGAAACCAAAAGATTAATTGGTTCTCGTTTGATACGTTGCTTTTTTCAAGTCGTTTAAGCAACTTTCCTTACTTTTCTTCGCAAATGCGCAAAGAAGTCTCACGAAAGGTTAATTGCTTTCGACTTCTATACGACATCGTTATTTCGACTTTTTATCAGTGAAATCGTTTGAACTCTTCTCCTAGTTAGTAAGACTATCTTAATGATTGCTTTTATCGAAATTTCAAGTTTTTATGAGTTTCCAACGAGTTTTCTAATATTACTTACATATCGCAACGATCGTGAATGATATTAGTCAGATTGATTGACGTTAACTAATGATAACTAACGGTTAACCAATTTTGAAATGGTATCTTTTTCTAATCTTAACACAATTTGTTTATTGACCCGAGGAAACAAGTAAGTAGTTTGGAAAGAAGAAATTCTTTATAAATCAATCGGCCCCTCGAGGTGAAAACAAGGAAGTCGTAGTATCGAAGGAGGTTCGCGTTTCTTTCTCGATAGTTTTATTTGCAAGAGATCGTTCCATGCTCGGAGAAGGCTTACGCGTCGGACTTTGAAGTTAGAAAGCTTCCCGAACGAGATTACGCGCCCGGGAAAGAACTTTCCGACACTTGTGTGGTTTTTTCCACCCTCTTTTCTCAACTTTTACACCCACCTACTTTCCTTTTCTTTTTCTATCATCTTTTATAGCCTACTTTCTTCTTCTTACAATTCCAAGTCTACAATATCGATGAAGGTCTTCGATGTTTTTACAGATTAGTCTTTTGACGTGTTTCTAATTAACTAGCTTTAAGTATCTACTTAATTAACTATTATAGCGCTAATTACAAAATAGAAAGAGAGATAAGATTAGCTTTCGTTCGAGAATGTTTTTTGATATTAATTTTCTTCCTTTTCGTATATAAACATTTGGCTATAAATCTTGTGTTGCCCTTTGGTATAGCGAACCTTTGGTAAGTAAGGGTTTTCAAACATGAACATTTTTACCTCCAGAATAAAGCTATAAACACATTTAATATTTACACGCTAAAAATTGATTCATCGAAAGATCACCTATCGATGGCCGAATACGTGCATTCTTCATCAAAAGTAACAACCTTTAAGACTATGCATTCGCGCGGAATGCCGGTTTCATCGAAGAAATCGATTCGGGACCACCGTGATGGTAAAACTTATTCGGAGAATGCTTTCCAAGAATCTTATTCAGCTGTTGGACGTTTTCTCCCTTTCCCTTCTTTTCTGAAGGGCTTATGGTACCTTTAGCCTTCCATCTTCTTCTATTTCTATATATCTATACTACTAACCTTTCTCTTTCTCTTTCTCTTTCTCTTTTCTCAACGGTTGCTCGTGACACGCCCGTCTCGAGACTACAGAAAAAGGAAACGAGAAGCGACCTCTCATTACTCGGTACCGGCTAATTATCGAGTCCATGTATCCCATAGCCTTTCATCCCTTTTTCTCGTGGCGCCATCCTACTTCCGGTTACAAGAGAACCGACGACGATCATCATAATAAGCGTCGATAATTATTGGCTTTTAGCAAATTTCGATTTTTCAGTCTGGTTGGCTTTGATTTTAAAAACAGACCGCTTCCAATTACTAAATTTTCTATTTTTTTAACAAATGCTACAATTTCTTAACGATCTATAAATCGATATGAACAATGCGAGAAATATGTATACTAATTATTATTTTATAATAAGCGCGGTATTATGTCTAAATTATATGATACATTGTTTGAAAAAGACATTCGTAAACGAATAAAAAAGTTAAAAATTCTTCATGCGAAAAAGGGTGGAGGTAAATTAAAAAAAAAATAAAATTATGTTGTGGTGTTGCGCAGTCTCGTGAAAGGAATTGCAAAGGACACGGATCCCAACCTGTTATGCGAAGAACCGCTTTTTTCCCTCGTTCGGTATTGAACGTTTAACGACATAATGCCTCGACCTCGAAAGGGTTGTTTACCGATGGCGCCTGCATGTACGAGGGCTCAGTCTGCATTCTTGTATATGTGCATGTCTGTGTACGTTTGTATGTGTTTGAGTTATACCTGCGAATTTACACGGACATGAATTGTGGAAGAAGGGTTACCTCGAACCAATCATTTTGGGTCTCTCACCCTTTTTAACCCTCTCAAAAGAGTTCGACCCTCAGATCAGTAGAAATGCGTGTTACTATGTGCATCAGGTGCATCATGTATATATACACACATATATATATATATATATATATATAGATATATTTGAAAGATAGAAAAAGGAAAGACCTATGATCTACGACAGAAGGGTTGTGACCCTACTCTTGCAGGTGGATCTGACCTGAGTATTCTTCGTGGGATTCTACTACCCACCACGAAGTGTACAAATGTTGAGCGTCCAACTGTATTAGGCGTGATCTTTTCTTTCTATTTTTTTTTTATTATTTCTCAACGTTTAATAACATAATTGCATATACTTTATGAAAATGTATTATTCGTATATGCATGAGTAAAATGCCTGAAAATATTACAGGTGTTTGTTTTCCGCTCTGATCTTTTAAATGCATTTATATTATAGTTAGGCTATCTTTATTATTCATTTGTTTAAAGATCATTTTGAATAGATATGTAATTTATATATTGGAGATAATATCAATTTTTTTGTTTTAATTTTCCTTTTCTATAAAAATTTATATATTCTTAATGTATATTTTTTAGAAAAAATATTTGTTATATATATGCGTTGAGCGAAAGCTATCTGTGTGTACTAACGAGGCATATATTCGCTTATCAATTGTTTCGACTTCCCCCGCGCTTAAGATTTTTTTCTTTTTTTCTTTTATTCAATCAAAAAACATATTATAATAGTTTACATTAGTAAAAAAGTATTCCATTCTCAACGATCACAATTGGCAAGCTCGTGCCATCCACACGGATTACTTTCATTGAAAGTAATCAACACCTAACAATGGGTTAAGTAACATCAAAATGATTGAATATTGTATCATGTATCTGTTAAATAAGTTACTGGTGATATGGATCAAACTCCACTTTGTCATATTCAAGACTCTTTTATTTATGGAGTATTTATGGTCAGGAGTTTATAAAATACACATAAATTTTCATCGAGTGGAAGAACATATCGCTTTCCAATTATCCTTTCGGAAAAAAAATCGGAAGGGGATAAATTCTTAGGGGGTACAACCCTATCGATCCTCTCGTACAATAGTACGACGATAGATATTTAACCTAAACATTCTGACTCGTGTACGGTGGTTACATGTCGATTATACCCAAGTGCTTCGTGCACCCGCGGAGAGAAAGAAAGCAGGTATAAACACATCGGTTTGATGCCGATAGAAAAAGAGAGGGTTGTGCCATACGTTGTTCGATTGTCGTAGGGTAGGTCCTGGTTTAATCCATTACACGATATATTAATTCGTTTTTCCGACTAGACGATCCCAGGTAGCTGTGAGAATCCTAAAAATAAAAGAAAAAAACTTGAAAGATTGGAAGACCCGAAACGCGCCTCGCACGCGCTCAGGTATCACCGGAAAGAGCTCTCTTATGGGGGCCCGTAAAAAACTCCTGTCGAAAGAAAAAGAAGAAAGGAAGAATTATAGCGAGCCACGTGGAAGCAGTAAAGCTATCGGCGAGGTTCGAAATTCTGCAGAAAAGATTTTTAAGGGGTTACATATCCTTGGCGCTCGGAAAATCTAGCAAAAAAAGACATTGTTGTTTGACGCAACTTTTCAAGTATACAAATTTTATTTTATTATCACTAAATACATTGATGAATATATATATATTTATATAAATTTATTTAAAAATAAAAAAAAATTAAAGAGGTATAAGCCGTTCTGTGGAACGCCTTTTTTCGAACTAGCAGAAACTATATATCTCGAAAAATATTCAACCGATTTTAATGAAATTTACATCATATCTTTTTTATACTATTATTTAAAAAGTAGCGTAGGCTTCTAACGATTACATGTTTCGTTCATTTTTTTTCAACCCATACGCTCGTTCTTGAATATTGCGTCAAATAAAAATTTTCTTTTTATGCTAGTTTTTTCGAATGCTAAGATAGTGTAATTTCTTAAACAAACGTTTGATCGGATGATTGGATCGATAGCAGTTTAAAATAAAAATCAAATATAATTTTATTCTACGAATGTTGTTGGATAGAGAAGAATAAAGAAGAGTTCGTCAGAATTTTATTACATACATGTATTGATTTGATTTTTATTTAAGCGATAAAACTGGACGCATACTTGCATACAAATATTTAAAAAAAATTCTTTCGTATATATTGTACATTATTTAATATGTATTACGGATTTATATGAATTTGAAACGAACACAATGTTACTTCCTTCCTCGCGGCGTGAAAACTTTTTTTCGAGGTAGCCTGATAAGAAGCTTCTTCTAAAGAAGTAAAAAGAGACAGAGCGAGAGAGAGGGAAAAAGACGATAGGAGAACGGTAGAACGTCGGGGATATCTAATGCTGGAACTTTAGAATGTGGAAAAGTGTAGCAGAGTACAGCTGCTCCACTTCCGCTACTCGGCACTCGTCGACCGCCCACCATTATCACGGATTGTGTACCATCCGTTTCTTCCTCTAGAGTACCTTTTATGCACCTGAAGATATGTACATTTGCCTCGAGCCAGGTTTTTAACGTATTTTATTCTATTAAAAAACACTCCACAAGAAATGTAAAATTCTAATAAGGTTACTCCTATTTCTTATATTATATATTTACGAGTTTCAGTTATATAAATTTGTACATTTGGTAGAATCGTGTATTCTTTCTAGTAAAAAATATTACCGAACAATCGACTCATGTTCTAATCTCTGTTTCTTTTGCATCTTACAAACGTTCTTTTTAACCTTGTCACCTTATGTAAATTTAAATATGAATTTCCTTTTTGCCTCGTATCTAGTTATCTCCGACGTATTATTATTATTTTTTGCATCACCTTTCCTTTTCATAAGCATTAGCTACGTGAAATAAAAATAAAGCTATTTATATACCTGCCCATCGAAGTTTCACGCACCGGTTCGTGCTTCAACTTTTTACCCACGTTCCAGTCTCAATTCGAAGGTAGTCCAGTCGGTCAGCAGAGAGACGAAAAGGTAACGGCTGGCCTTTTCTTCTTTAACCCTCTTCGATGTCCACGACTAACATAAGAGGTAAGAGTAGAGCCAGGTTACGCATAGTACGACTCTTTACGATCGACTAGATCGTCCACCTTGTGTCGGGGTCAAGGGGTTGGCCAGCTGGCGACGGACGGTTGTGCAATCTGCACACGGTCGACCCCTCTTCCACACCCTCTCCTCTTCTTTCGGGAAGAGACGAACCGAGAGAGGACGAACTTAGGGACGGAGACAGATAGATGGATAAGGACACTGAGAAAACGAAAGAGAGAATGAGAGCGAGAGAAAAGTTTGGGGTTGGCTGGAGTTACCGCTGCCAACGTTACTCATTGTCCAAGCTCAATGGCCGTCTGTCCAGCGCCATTGTTGGTAATGATTTCGGAAAGGTCTGTGGGAGAGAGATCGTGCGTGCAACACCCTTCTCTGCTCCGCAACAGATAAACCTATCTCTAACGTTCCTACGTGTCCTTTTCTACATTCTACTCACTAACATTTATTTCCTATCGTATGTCTTCTCTAATTATGATTTAGGTGAGAATTCCTTTCTTTATTTTTCTCTCGTTATAAACATCCAATTTTATAACGTAATTATTCGATCATGCAATTCGATTAATATATTTTTTTTATTATTCTTTCTTTTTGTTGTAATAATTTTTGTTATAGTTTTTAGTTTGAGAGGATATATCGAAAAAAATAAAATTTGTTATTTTCATTAGATTCATAGTACGTGCGTTAATTTACAATCGTCTCTCAGAATCAAGAAAATGCCGTTATAACGGATATCTGACGGAGTTAAAAGTCGTTGAACGCTACTAAAGATCGCGTTATATGATTTCCTTAGGAAGAGACGAGATCAAGAATTCTAAACAGTCCGGTGGGTCTCATTAGGCGGTCCTGGTTCGCACCTATCTCACACCGTTGGACGTTTCCGTTGAATTATGTGCGGTAGACTGCATCTTAGTTTTTTTCGTTTTTATGAAAATTTATGCGCTATGCCACCAACGGACCAACGTATAGATTCTCAAATGACAGGAAACAAGTTACGAGTCCTCTAAGAATATTCATGTCGCAAAATAAAGAGAGCCTCCTCTTGTCCCTTTTTCTACCTCTCTTTCTATTTTTCTTGCTCTTAAGACCAAGCGAGGGTGTCGCTACAACGGAAAAAGACAGGAAACGGAAAGAATCTTATGAGGAATATCAAACGCATTACAAAATTTTATCTCCTTTCATCGACAATTTATTTCCTTTTCTTCAATCGATTATTAAATACTATCCTTCCAATTGTATATGGTATAGCTTACAATTAGAGAGAAAGAGAGATTTCAGCTTCAATTGGATAAGCTATATGTACCGCCATTTTGTAATCGACACCGCCATCGTTCAATCTCAACCCTTACACAACACCGTCCCTCGAAGAACTCACGTCTGACCTCCTTCATTCACCCTTTCGTTCATTGAAAGAGGGGTCAATTCTTGCTCCTGTCACAACACTGCCATTCGAGCATCAATCCCGCTATGTCGTCATTGGCTGAAATCAGAATTGCATTTTAGAAAGGGGTTGACACTACGAGGAACTTATTTGATTGAATAGAGACAAAGGATAATTGTTTATTCAATTCTATATATAGTAAATTAAAAAAAAAAACGACTCGTCGTTAAAAACAACTTTTACTCTCGAATGACGTTAGATTCGTATTGTTGCACTTTGGCAGTTCGATCGCAAATAAATTGCGGCTTGGTTTTGGCACACAGAAAAACGTTAGAAACACTTATAGCAAACTTATTCCCCTCTTTCCCCCTTATTCCCTCATTCCTTATTTCCCCCTTTTCGTATATACTTGTATATCAGAGGGAAACTCTGACTTGGCAGCAATTCCTATTTTATGGCACATAAACTCAGTTCGAGGCTTGCTCGGATACTTGATTGGCTGCTGGATAACGTACTACGCGTTATTATAATAGTTTATGGATTAACGCTTTTGCACGTTAAAACCTTTACTAAAATTTTATCATAAAGTATTGTATGTATCTTCGATGTATAACACCTTAAAGGTATAAGTATATTTCTTCTCTTTACGAAATGTCTGTCGATAATATACGAATACTTATTAATATTTTTTTTATAATGAGCGTGTATACTTTTCTGCTTTGCAACATATAATTTTTCAATAGAAATTAAACGAAAAGATAAATAATAAAAGAGATTCGTTTATAACGATTCAAATTGTAGCATGAAGAGATAAATTATGATCTTCGCGTGATATGTTTTCGATAAAAGGATTCGAGATATCGATTCTTTCTTTCTCTCTTTTTTTCTCTTTTCCACTAGCATGTGTGGAAAGCATAATAAGGGTACATATCGAATCCCATTCTACATTCCCTCGTTCTGCTTTCGCAAAATTTCCACTTTTTTGAGAGAAAGACAGCGTAACTCGTTTCCCCCTTTTTCATCGAGTCTTCTGCAATCTATTCCTCTCCTGCCCCTTCCTTTCACTACCCTCTCCTCTTTTTATTTTTCTCTTTCTCTTTCTCTCTTTCTAGTATGGGCATACGCAGATGCGCGGTTTTCGTTCTCCCTTCGCGACTCTTCATGTTTTAGTCCGGATTTTCTTTCTATTCACTTTTTCTCTCCCTCTTTCTCACTCTCTATTTCTCTCTTTTTTCCACATATATACATACACGGACACACTTCTCTATCTCTCCCGTTTTCGTAACCTTCTCGCGTTCAAATTTCAGTCGTTTTGCACCCTCGATGCGATTCGTGTAACGAATCCGCGCTTTTTTCGTCAGTTTGGCCCGTACAAAAATATCCACTTTTCGGGGTGTGGAGCATAGAAAAAAAGAGAGGATACACGATAACACGAAGGAAGGAAAGAAAGAGATGTATATATATATATATTCACACCGGAAAGATCTCGATAAAAAGCAGAGAACTCGCGCCGAAAGCGTGCCCAAGGGGTGATGGTCGAGAAAAAAAGATGGTTAAAAATATGTAAACCGACATCGACGGGATAGGTAACACGTGGAGAAGAAGGGGAAAAATAGGGAGACAATGTGTCATCGGCACGTGCTCCTCTTGTATATCTCTTCTTTTTCTTCTTCTTCTTTGGCCCTCCTGTCGACGACGAGAATCGAAGATGTTTTTTTATAGGTGACGATCGCACGAGTCTAGAAGAACAGAAGGCGGGGATTCTTTCGTGACTTTATAACAAGGAAGAAGTTCTATGCTACTCTTCAATCCACTGCTGGACCAACGATAGCGTCAACGAGTTTCTTCTTCATCAAGATTAACCTGAAAAATCGATTACTTGAAAAATAAAATCAACGGAAGGATCTTTTCCGTAAGTATACTCTTTCATCAAATTCTTTTAGTTTTTTTCGCCGTTTTAATAGCTTTTATAAAAAATAACGTAAATTCGATTGAACAAAGTTATCAAATCATTTAAAAATGAATTGATTTAGAACAATTATTAATGGTTCGTTTATAATATGACAAAATTTGATTATTAGTTATTCTTTAATTATTTTCATTTTTCCGATCTATCGATGCACGGATACCGACAAACTTTATCGAATTTTTCTTCATTAATTAGAGATTGAAAAGAGATTCTTTTAGTCGTCTACAAATATTCGAGTTATGTTCATTGATCCGCACCGATGAATCGGTTTCTTACTAATTAGTGGAATCAAGGACGCTTATTTATTGCGTAAATCGAAAGACAAGAGGGTCCTTAGAGAAGCGAAGGTATTTAAGATGTTTTCAGTTGGGAAGGTGTGCTCGACCAGACATTTATAGCGGGCGTGGTTGTTCTTCATGAGGGGCGTTCTAGTATTTTTAGTTGTTCGATCCTGGCACGCGCTTCTCTCTCCTCCTCCTTTCCTCCTATTCTTTTTTTCTTTCTGTCTTGTTTTTTTTTTTTTTTAATGCCGCCGAAGCATCTGGCTTTTGGTAGCTAATACCTTCTCTTTTGCGCGGGGCACACCCGCGCACGCCAACGATAGTAGTGATGCTGATGGTGGTTCTTTATTGTCTACCTTAGAAAATAGGATTAAGTTACTCATTCACGAAAACATGGCTCGTAATGCGAGAATAACGTCTCTTTCATCCGTAACGTTTATCCTTTGGGACGGCAAAGACAATTACACTCGAGAGTTCGTTTTTCTTCATTGTTCTTATTACTAGATATTTATTTTTGCAAATGAAAAAACAAACATATTTAATAAAACTATTTTTATACAATATTTCTTATTTATTTCCAAGGAATAAGAACTAGGTCAAAATGAATGGAAAAATGTAGCATAGCCTCTCTTCATTTTGTTCGATGTTAAGACAGTACTCTTATCTTTAAAGTTTCAAAAGAGAACGTATCTACCTGAACCAGCCACCTCGATAATAATAGGGCCTCATTGTGAATTCCTTTTTTCTTTCTTTCTTCTCTTGTATAATCCGCCTTCTGACGCACGCTCGTGCGGTCCATTGCCAAATACACAGCAGAGATCCTGAACGCAAGGAGAATGAAAAGAAAAGAATTTAGATAAAATGAAGGAGGGGATATCTTGTCGATTTTTCTCTTTTTTTCTTTCTTGCCCTCTTTCCTAAACTTAACGGAAGAAAAATAGGAAAAGGATGATAGAAAAAAGGCAAGCTTATAGCTCGTGTTCAGCACGCGTTCGATGCCAATGTAAAGACAAGGCAATGACGATCTTCGAAGCTTTTATATAAGGGAAGGGGGTCTTCTCGTATCGATAGAGAAGGGAATAGAGGGGAAAAATGAAGGAAAAAAAGGAAGAAAAAAAGTGGAAGTGTCGATGGAGAAAAAAAAATGACAGAGGATGTAATATATGCCATCGTGTGTACGTTCCTAGAGTCAGTTTTTCTTTTTTTTTTTTTGAAATGGAACGAGCTTGGACAAAAATTTAGCGTGCGAAGAGGGAAAAAGATTGAAGAGGGCCATTCTAGTGAACACGTTGCAAAGTGAGATTCTTGGACTAAGTCCGGTGTTTTGGTTCGGTGGTTATTTTTCCTTCAGTGTCACCGCTTAAAAGCTTTCATGAACGGAAACAGAAAAAAGAGGTAGAAAAAGGTGTAGTCCGTTATCTTTTTCTATTGAGGATAAAGTTGAACAAATATATCTCATTTGTTACACGATGAAATGATCTTGTTAAAAAGTCTACGAAATAATGTTTCTCTTTTTTCAAGAATAAAGTATTTTATATTTTGGAAAAACAAACCACAAAAGAATCACAACATGATTTCATTTGTGGATTTCGGAAAATGGTGAAAAATCTTCTCGCATATGCGTATACCAACCATAAAGAGACAGACGGCCATGCCGATGTTTTTCCCCAATATTTTTATTACCGTGTGGTGAACTCGATTGGTCGAATACCACGGCCACCCCCGACAACCCCTGTCGTATCGTACTCGATAGGCACCCTTCCAAAAAGTACTTTCCTTTTCGAACTTGTAGGAATAACTACGGCGGGAGCGAAATCGCATTCGCGCCAGCCGCGTAATAAATTCCGAGTAGCCATAGTAGATTTATCATAGTCACGCACTCGCACTCGCCTGCCGTCGATAATAATTATTAGCCGGGATGGTTTCGGTTTTTCCCTTCATCTCGAACGCAACGCCGACCACCGTCGATCCGTCTGGATGCTGGAAAAAGGGAGATGAGAAAAGGGCGAGAGGACGAACGAATGTATTTACGAAAGGACGGACAGACAGAGGAATGAACGGCTAGTGGCTCGACGATCATCCTGGCGGTTTCGAGGGCCAGGAAAATAATGATTCGAGACATTTTTCATCGGCGCGTGAGAGGCGGAGGGCGTGAAAAAAAAGGGGATTCTTCACGAGCAGCTTGATTTGCAACGCGTCTGGCCCTCCGCAGAAACGCTTGCCTTTTGCTTTGTGGATTCATGTATATTTAGAGATATTCCGCTTAATTCACACCTGCCACCTGGAAAAATATGAATTCTCCTGCTGATTCCAAAATTTACTTTCTCTTATCTACCTTTTTATTTGTATTTTTTGGTTTAATTTGTAATGAGTACAACATTTTATATTTGTTTTTTTTTTTTTATCGAAGTGAATAGATATATTTGTCCTTAATTACAGCAGGTTCATTTCAACGTATTCGAAGTTAATTAAGACAACCAATACTATCAAACATCACAATAGTTTCCATCTATACAGTCAACACCTATTTTGAGCAATCTTCATTTGCGTCTTTTCATTTCCTTTGATTGAGTGATCCAATGTACACTCATGAACGATTCGAAATAATGTATTTTAGTAGTAGTAGTAGTAGTAGATTCTTCTTTTCGATCTAGAATACTATGAATCGTCCATTGTATGGGTTGTAATCCTTGCCAGTTGCACCCTCGTGCAATCGATGTGCTTAATTTCAGTAGGGTTCGACAAATTATTGTTTTTATTTTCGTCTGATTCAGTGCTGCAGTTCATTACGATGTTTGAAAGAAACGAAGTAACATGCGATGGAGTTTAATGATCCTCGCTGCGTGCGTGATCACGTGAAAATAGAACTAGAAGATCGAACAAAATCAATTAAAAATGTATCGATTGGAAAATATGTACATTTTTTGACAGAATTTTTTCTTTCTTTTTTTTTTTATTATAATTATATGAATTTATAATCAAAAAATTCTCAGCGAGAATTATGAGTAATATAAGATGACGTGATACATTGATATGAATTGTAAATATAGAAAACATTATAATGATGAGCGTAAATATATATAGCTATTATTATTATTAGATGTTAACCGAATCTTATTACAAGATCGGAAGAGTAGAATCTTTTCAACCTATGAGTTAGATTCGAGATTTCTAGAAAACTTTTTGCTAAAGGATTTAGATGCTTGGCTAAACGGAAGCTGTAGCATTCGCTGAAGTTAGCAATCTCTTCTTTTATTGTAGAAATTCTTAAATCTTTATAGATTCTTTCATTAGTTACATACCATGGGCCATTGCAAATGTTTCGCAGTGTTTTTGATTGGAATTTCTGTAAAATTTCCATGTTTGAGCTACCAGGACTTCCCCATAGTTGAATTCCATAAATCCATATAGGTTTTAGGATAACTTTACAGATAGCAAAAACTTGGTTAGATGCTCTGCCAATGAACCAATATAGCTTTCTCACTTATTCCTTTAGGTAGGTTGTTTTGGATTGAATGTGTTGTCTCCATGTCAGCCATTTATCCAGTACCATACCTAAGTATTTGGTCGAATTTTTGGTTGGTATAACTGCTCTATTTATGGTCACAGGAAGACATGTGTGCTTACGCTGTGTAAATGTTACTTGCGCCGACTTATTTTCGTTTATATTGATGTGCGCTTTTGATACCATCTTTCTAGAATATATAGGTGTAAAATATCAGTCGCATTTTGGGGATTGCTGTCAGATGCTAACAGAGCTGTATCGTCCGTAAATGTAGCTGTAGTTATCTCGTCAAAGGTTGGAAAATCTGTTTTGTAGATAGCGTACAGTAAAAGTTCGAGTATACTGCCTTGTGGAACACCGGATAAGATTGATAGGCTGTGGTTAGTTGGTTTTGATATTTGATTATGAATTTCCTGTTTGTGAGGTAGGACTTGAGAATCAGATAGAATAATATAACAGATAGAATAATATAACAGACTTTTTTTCTGTTTACATAGCAGTCCCGGGTGACACATTTTATCGAAGGCTTACCTAATGTCCAAGAATACTGCTAAACAGTATTTTTTCCGTTCTAGATCTTGTGATACCTTTCTGGTTATACGTTGAATTTGCTCAATTGTTGCATGATGTTTTCGAAATCCTAACTGATGATCAGGGAATTCTTTAGAGTCCAGCTCAGCGTGGAGGCGAAGAATGAGCATTTTTTCAAATAACTTAGACAGAGCAGATAAAAGATTAATTGGTCGGTATGACGTAACTTCACTTGCTGTTTTCCTGGTTTATGAATGAGCATTATCACAGCTAATTTCCAGGTGGTATTGAAGTATCCTAGACGTAGAACGGCATTAAATATGCAAGTTATTGATACGACTCCTTTCTTCGTCAAATTTTTAATCATCTTCCCGCTTTTGACAGAATATTTATTTTATTTATTAATCGTGTCTACTTACAAGCGCTCGAAATATTTCGACTCGTTGATATTATTTGGTATTGTAATCATGATTTTTGACACTTTTAAATACGTAAAATTCCAGCGAATCCTAAAATTAAAAATGAATACCGCGAAGAGCATATCGAAAATAGGAAAAAAGGATCTTCGTGAGAAGATAAAAATTTCGATGGTTGACAAACCACAATGTCATATATTGGAATGACAT